GTTGAAGATAATTAGTATGAATAGAATATATATCAATATATAGAGTAATAGTAATTTTGAATTTAATAAACATTATTTAATAAAATATTTTTTCGCAGCATATTTGTTAAATTATTTTATTAGAGCGACGGTCTAAAAGACCGGTCTAAATTAAAAAACTGATGATCTTATGAGACCATTGATCTCAGTTTCGATCCGATCTTTTTTCAAAGACTGCTAAAGATCAGACTGGATCAGACCGTTTCCATCCCTAGTCTGGGGTATGACAGAAGTTCTTATTAGCTCAATCAGCTGGTCAGCTGATTCTAATTAATCAGCCGGTCAAACATCCATTAAGATTATTGGCTAATATTTTTTTATATTTAGATTATTACGAAAAATCGCGAAAAAATTTTATAATTGAATTCAAATGACGTTTAAAATACTAATTGTGTAAATACCAATATTAGATTTCGTGTAATAACAAAGCTTGCATATGAAAAATGTCGTAAAAACCAAATGCTACGAGTATACCCTAATATCGAATAGGAAGACAACTTTGCCATCTACGTTATTGTAAGTTATTAGAGAATCCCAACTTAGTGAAAGAAAAAAAATACTAAAGCCAGTACCATCTAGATTAAATAGTAATAATACAGGTAATTTAGAGGTTTTTTTTATATTATTTTTATAAAATTTTATTAACTTATAAGGGTTTGATTTAAGGTTCAACGTTTGCTTCAAATATAGAAGAATTAATGAAAGTATTGTACTACTAATAACGTCAAGAATCTGCAGATTTAGAATTGAATCTATCAAGATTTAAAAATATGATCGAATAAGCTGATCCTCAACTTAAGGGTTTTTTAAATTTATAATGAATTTAATCATTCCTAAAGAACACTTTGCTTATAATATAAATGAGGCCAAAAAATCAATTGTAAGTTTATGCTATATGATAGCAGGCTTACGAAATAAATTTGTTAATAAACATAAATTGGAAGTTGGTCTGTATCTAATGACATTAGGTGCAATATAGGTGCTATTGATACAATTTCAAAGCTTGGATACTCTGCATGTTCTAAAACAGTAGAAAGTTATCGAATAAAAATTCAAAATGAACATGTAAAAAAACTGAAGAGCACTTTATAAAACATGTAATTTTAATAAAATTTAAGATTTTAAGTAATTATAATTTAAATAAAACTTATTATTATTATTATTATTTTAGAAAGACTGTTTTCATATATATAATTTTGATGATTACTATGCCATTCACGAAATTCGGAGACCAGATACAGTTTCAACATCTGATGTATAACATTTTGCTATAAGTGTAGCAAAACCTGTTTTAAAATCCCAATCCATTTTACTTATATATAATGGCGTATTCATCTATAATCCAGCAAATTTTGAAGTATGAAGAATCTGCTGATATCTTATTAATCATTATACTAGAATATTTGACATTTCGTATTTAAACTAACAGTTACTATAGATTTTACAAAAGCGTTTAACTAATGAATTTGATCAAATTAAAGCATAATGGTATATAATTACAATGATAATTGATAATTTAATAGAGCAAAAGGAAAAACAATCAATGGAAGGACTTAATTTAATTGGGTTTAAAAAATAACATTTACATTCAGTTTAAGATTATATGAATGTCTTAACCTTATCTTAACCGTTAATACAGTAGCGATCATAAGTATAAACTCCTTAAATATATAGATTTTTTTTTTAATATATTAATTTTTTAGGAAGTATTACACATTTTTTATAGAATTT